TGATTTTAATTTGAAGTACTTTTGTATTAAACTTACTTTTTTTTTGCCAGCCCATCCTCACTAATGTTGCACCACCTAAAGCATTCAGCCAGTGCTCTCCCCAAGCTAGCCAAGCATATCAAGTGTGCCTGCAACACTCACAGCCTAATGAACAATGCACAAAAACAAAAGTAACAGCAAGACTCCTATTATCTGATCTTCCGTAAAACACAAAAACTGCCTTCTCTGGTACAGAGGAAATGCCAGTAAGCCTGCAGGTGTGAGCCAGTTAAAAGAAAAGGCTTTGGCTAAATAGATTCTTTGACTGCCAGGGATTAGAGTCATGGCACCAGTGGCAACACACATCTTTTCCTTTAATTTACAAAATTTTCTCACGAGTTTGCAAGAGTTCACCCCATCAGGGGCTTTCTGAGGCCATTGAAATGTCTTAAGTTTTAATTAAGTTGGAGTTGTCAGAAGAAAGCTTTTTTGGCACAGAGTCAGGGTCATTAATTACTGCTATCTTTGTTTCTTTCAGAAAAAAAGAACTCTACTGACTTGTTGGGTTACTTATACAGCCTGCGTTTTCTATCCTGCAGTCCTTATTCACCTCCAAGCAAGGCTTGATTAAGCAGTTTACCAATTACTTCCATCAATCTGATTTACAAATCCTATGGGTAATCTTAATTTCAGAAGCTTTTCTCTCTGCTGATTTGAGGTACAGTAGTAATGAAGGCAGCATTACTGTTAGAACCACAAAGCATTTTAAAATTCTGGATTTTCTATCCTGAATGGTACTTGAATCACATTCCTGATTTTATCATTTCATACCCATCCTTTTATATGCTTGCAGCTGGATTGTCAGTCATTAAGAGTCACAAGCCACACTGCATAAAACCAAGCAGAATAAGCATAATTTCCTTGCTGTCTTGCAGTTGTGAGGGGAAAGATCATGTTTTCTATCAATCAAATAAATACCTGTAAATAAGTTGGCATTCAGATCACAGTCCATGGTGTCTGCATTTGATAATAGAAACTTTACCACTTGGTGCCCTTTACCCTCAAAATGAAAAATGTCCATAATAATTAACTAAAATTGTTACCCTGTAATAATTATTCACTGGCCTAAAGACTAATTTGTAGATTTTATTTATTTCTTTTTTTTCCATAGAGGTATTCACATCATAAAAAAGCCGACACCTTAACTGGCACTAATTTGGTACTTCATGGGGGATTGAGATATGTGGAAATCACTGTCTCACTCTTTGCTGGAGATAACGGTCTAGAAACTCTGCTTGAAATATAATGCTGTACAGAAATGTGTTATATATCCATACCATATACAAAGACAAGGTTTTGATTGCCAGTAGTGTTCATTCTCTGGTATCACTAACATCATGTGCATGTACAATTCCTCTACAACAAATACATCACAGTTTGATAGTCGCTGTATTTTCAGGTACCCAGTAAACTCTTGGTTTTATGCAAAATATTTTGCATAAATATCATTACAAATTATTATTAGAAAGCTTGATAACTCCATATCTTTCTAAATATACTGCCTATTCATTTAAATGAAGTTTGTTTTATTAAAATCCTCACATTCCTTAAAGCCTGCAAAAGACCTATGTTAAACTACATATTTTGTACTGTTTTTAATAAAAACATTGGCAAAATAATGTTTTTTCAGAAACTCTGACTTGAGTTTCTGATTTATGGAGTATGCTTTACCATTTTGAGCTACTCAGCTCAGCAAGCGGTTGCTCAGAGACTGCAAGACTTGAAATGTCTGTGGAGTAGTATAAATTATTTTGATCCTCCCTTGAGTATTTACTTAATTTCTCACCCATTTACTGTACCTTGCATGAAATGGTAGAAGCAAGATAGATACTATTAAAAAGCTAGGAAAACTACCAAGACTGTTAACTGGATCTGGAAAGTTAAGATACCTGCATCAACAGAAGCAATCTGCTTTTAGAGAAACTACTTGGCTGCTATGTATGACGTGTGTCCTTTGCCTCAGTTTCCTAAAGCTAGCATGAAAAATAAGAATTTCATAGAAATGACAGCAACCTCTAACTCGATAAAATACTGAAAAAAAAAACAGGACAATAAAGACATTACAAAACTATGTTGCAACATCTTGCAAAGTAGCTATTTATTTATGACATTTTATTTGTTACAGTTTTATTTTGCCAAGCCATCCCAGAACTGCATCAATCCTTCTTACTATTTTCAATTTTTTCACCTTGGTTAAGATCATCACTAACCCCCAAAGAAACCTAGGCAAGTTATTTATGTCTACAGGAAGGATATACATGAAGATGCAGAGTAGTCATCATACCCCTGAATTCTTACTTACCACATACAATCACCTTGTCACTCATACGGGCATTGTATACCTGTATGCCCCTGAAGTGGGAGACTGGAAAGCCCAAGCCTCAGGGACAACTCCTCCCACCATTACATTTGTCAGCCTGCAGCTGGTGAGCAGCATGAGTTATGGTATCTGTATGGACAAATTTTCAGAACTTCAGAGTGCTTTTACTATTTTTGTTCTGTAGTTGAACTATATCTTTAAAATCCATCCCTCTGCATAAATAACTACACAGAGAAATAAATGCACTAACAAGAAGATTTCTACCATTAGAATAGTGTCAAAAAGCCCTATGATAACCTATGCTATCCAAACAAACAAACAAACAAACAAACAAAAAACTGCAACTGTAGCTTCTTTTTAGCCGCGATGAGAA